CTGCCTGCTGTACTTCCCACTCTGGCTCTGGTGAATTCTCTCACCTTCCCGCCTTTCTGACTGTACCCAGTGCTTGTATAAATAAATAAATAAATCTTTTTTTAAAAAAAATAAGTAAAATAAAATGGTTTACAGGAAACTGTCCTTGAAATACTACCATGATAAGAATCCAAATGAAGGAGAGAAGTTCAAATAGATTTCTCAAAATTATGAAGAGCTCTCTGATGCAGAGAAAAGGGACTTATATGACAAAAGAGAACAGGCTATTAAATAAGGTAGAGAAGGTGTCAGTTTTGGCTCCTCCATGGACATCTTTGATATGTTTTTTGGAGAAGGAGGAAGTATGCAGAGAAAAAGGAGAGGTAAAAATGTTGCACATCAACTATTAGTAAATTTATGTAGTGGTGCAATGAGAAAGCTCGTTCTACAAAAGAATGTGATTTGACAAATGTGAAGGCTGAAGTGGTAAGAAAGGAACGTAGAGTGCTGTCCCAAACGCTGAGGTACTGGAATGCAAATAAGAATTAATCTATAGGACCTTGAAGAGCTCAGCAAATGTAGTCTGTGTCCATGGAATTCCAGGGCCCAGGGGAATGGATCAGTCCTAACAATAGACGTAAAAGCTCCTGTGGAAGGAAGATAGTGTAAAAGAAGATTCTAGAAGTTTATATTAGCAAAGGCATGAAAGATGGCCAGAAGGTGACATTCCACAGTGAAGGAGGCCAAGAACCATGACTGTAGCCAGGAGGCAATATCACTGTCTTAGATTTGAAGGACTGTATTGTTTTATTACTGATTGAAGCATTGTTGGCTTCCAAAAGCCAATATCTACTTTTGACAACTGAACCACAGTAATTATCTCTTATCCAGGTCAGATCAGATTGTCAAAAATGGATATAACAGGTGTGTGCTAAATGAAGGCAATTTATCATGGACCATATGAAAAGGATTGCATAATCATTGAATTTAATGTAAACTTTCCTCAGAGTGGCTTTTTCTTTCCTGATAAACTGTTTGCTGGAAAAACTCCTACCTGAGAGAAAAGAAGCAGAAGAACCTGATGAAATGGACCAGGCAGAAGTGAGGGACTTTGATTCAAATCAAGAAAGATAACACCATTACAATGGAGACACTTACGGGGATTATAATAAAATACATAGAAGAAAACAGAGGCAAAATATTTCATGACATAACCTTTAGTGATGGCATTAGGGAGTCATCCTCAATAGCAAGGAAAACAAAAGAGAACATTAGCAATATCTGTTATTGACAACTGAACCATAGTAATTATCTGTTTATTTAAGATTTCTCCCTTATTTTCTTGGCGAGCAGTATTGTTCCTCTTGATCTATTCTACTTCCACAACTCTCTCTTGAATTTTTCTTTTTCCTTTTTTAAATTTTAATGTGCCACTCTACTTTCTATAAAGATATTTTCTTTTTTTTTGTATGTAGAAGAAGTGGGGTGTCAGCCAGAGTTGGGGGGGTAGGGGATGAAGGGTGAGAGGATTCACCAGAGACAGTGGGGAGCAGATCAGTGTACTGAAATACACCACTAAGGGAAGCAGCAGGTGAGACAGGAGAGGTCTGCTGTTCCATGTGGGTTAACTTCCTTGCCAGGCATAGAACTCAGTCTGTAGCTGTGATAGCACTGAGACTTAACCCCTAGGCTACCGGAGAGGCCCCACTCCTCAATTTTCACCTCCTGTATTTCTCTTTTGAAATATTGAAACTCCATTTTGATCCAGTTCCAGGGATCTTCATTTGTTTTTCTGTGTTTTCTTCCATTTCTTAGAATTTCTTTATCATTGGAGTTCTAAACTCTATATCTAATAGAGAGAACATAGTTTCCATATTTATGAATTAGGGTTCTAGAGATTTGTTTTCTCTGTGTTGTACTATTTACTTGGGTACTCATGTTGTTTGTTGGATTTTTCCTCCTGTCCATTATTAGCTTTGGAACCCAGCTCTTGTATGTGGGGTTTCCTCTGGGCATGGTTCTCCCCCCTGATTGGTCAGTGTTCTCATCTATTTGTGCAAGCCTCTAGTGGAGTTTAATGAGAGGTCTTGAGCCTCTGGCCACTCTGACTTACCCCCAACATGGGTCCAGCATCTCACCAGTCTGGGTGTGTACTGGTGGGTCTTGCAGAAAGCCGTGAGACCTCTGCTGGTCTGGGCTGGGGCTGGCAGTGTTACAAAGAAGGTCACAAAGTCTCTGGCCCCTCTGGCACCCTCCTGATATGTGTCTGAGCTCTCTCCCATCCAAGGATCTAATGCTTTTTGTCTTAAATGGCATCCTGTGATCAGTGGACCAAATTGTTTGGACAAAGGTCAAACAGGACTTGGAGCAACTTAAACTACCTACTGTTAATTTCTTTAACTAAATTTTCTCAATGGAACATTTGAATAGCTAAATGAATGAACTCATATGGAAACATAACAAATATAGCCAAATGAACTCATATGGAAATATAACAATATCCCTGCACATAATTTAAATCACTATTTTTCTATTACTTGTAGCTCAATATATTGTGAGTGAAATATCCTTTAAGGGCAAAAAATCAAGTTGTGAGTGTAGGGGAGAAAATTAATTTTCCCATTACTTTTTCTAGGTTCTTTTTTTTTTTTAATAGAGGCATGTTTATTTATTTATTTATTTATTTATTTATTTATTTATTTGTTTGTTTGTTTGTTTGTTTTGTTCATACATGCACTGGGTACAGTCAGAAGCGCGGGAGGGCGAGAGAATTCACCAGAGTCAGAGCAGGGAGCAGAGCAGGCAGAAGGACCGAAGTACACTGCTGAGGGGAGCAGCGGGCGGCAGGAGAGGTCTGCGCGCCATGTGGGACCCTCCTCTGGTGGCCGGGGAGCAGCCGGGGATCAAACCGGCGTCGCAACCCAGCGCTCAACCGCTACGCCACCGGGGACGCCCACTTTTTCTAGGTTCTTAGTTGAGACATTGCTATAATAAAATACAGCTTAATAGATGAAAACAAACCAAAGTTTAAAAACCTCCTGCAATTTTTAGAGAACCCCTGCAAAATGGAGTAATTTGTCGAAATGGTCTAAGCTACATCACTAAATAACACCTTCAGCTAAAGACAAAGGATGTTGGGGTGGAGGAGAAGACCAATTACGGGACGTTGCCTGGAAAAGGCACAGGCAAACAAGAATATGACTGTTATGTGAATTAAGTTGCCATCTTCTCCACTGATAAGCGTTACAAAGATTTGGTCATTTCCTCTTCTCATGCAGGAAGGGAGACAGAGTTCTTTATACTTGTCCGGGGGAGGAAAGGTGATTTCCCCAGGCCCCTCAGGGTTCTTCTCAGATTGGTGCAGCAATCATAATAAACATCAAACAGATTAGTGGGAGAAAAGAACAAATTTAATTACATACGCATGGAGAATGTGCATTGATGTAAATTCTAAAGTAAATGGGATAAAAAGAGGGTATTTATGGTGATAGGGGCCTGGGGCTTGTAATAGAGAGTAGAAGGCCTCACATGATGAAAGGACCAAATGCTCTATAATTACATGTTTGTCTGCCATATAGAAAGGTTTCTCCAATAGAACATTTATTTCTGGAGATAATTCAAAATCTGGTTAGTATTCCCCAATTTTCATTCTTTTAGGTAGTTAAGGGAGTAGTAAAAGTTTCTCTTGAGACTGCAGGATCTTGATTGACCTCAATTCAAAGCAATGCACATGCCAAAGCGACATGTCTTGGAGAGGCCTGTTTTGGACATCTTTGGGGGGGAGCTATTCTTCATAATGAAGCATCCATAGAAACCCAAAAGGAGGGCATTCACAGAACTTATCGTTGGGGAACCATAATATGTCCTTTTAATACAGTGCTGGGACCCAATGAGAAGAGAAACGCCTTTGTTTCAGACCTTATGTAGGTATCTTTTCATCTAGCTGTTGACTTGAATCCTTTAATGTCTTTTGTAATAAACTGGTAATCTAGAGAGTAAACCAATTTTCAGCTCTGTGAGTCATCTAGCAAATTAGTTGACGCCAAGGATGGGGTCATGGGAACTCCTGGCTTTTAGCCAGTAGATCAGAAGTACAGGTAAGAACCTAGACTTGCAACTGACTTTCTGAGTTGATCACGTGGTTGTGAGAACTTCCAATCTGTAGTTGGCTGGTCAGAGACACAGGTACAATCTGGACTTGCAATTGGGGTCTTCGGTTGAGGCTGATATTGGAAGATTGAGCTCTTTATCAGTGGAATCGTACACTATCTCTGATAGTCAGAATTGAGATGAAATCCTGGCTACCCTGCTCATGTTTGAGAACTGCTTGTTGGTGTAGGAAGGTCTCCAAACATACTGAAATTGGGTCCAGGAATCCCTTCACCCAACCCTGTACAGTCACCTATGGGTGCCTTGTGACAATATACATCCCCCAAGGCCTGTAATAACAATTACTTCTAGGCAGTAGGTTGGGAGTGAGGACTTTCTTTTTTTCTTTGTATACTTCCTTGGTTTTTCCTTTAGCAAGTACTATTTTTGTTATAAACAGAAAGTACTATTTTTGTTATAAATGTACAAATCTAAAGAAACTGATAAAATAACCCTGGTGTTAGTCATTGTGCTAGGAATAGAATGTTTTTTTCCAGACATGGTTATCTGTTATGAATATTCATCTAATCATACCGGCTTTCTGGAAAGAAAAAGCAACCTTTTTAAAGTTGTAAGAAGTTCCAGGACTGATATTATTTTATTATATGATCTATACCCCAGGGGAAATAGCTGCTAATTTGCCTCCTATAATCATGGGAGAATCAGGGTCTACAGAAAATATATGTTAACAGCCCTTTTGAATCTTTGAATATGACAGTATGATGGATCATTTTTTTAGTAGTTGGATTTCCCATTTCCCATCTGTTACTAAAAGTTTGCTTCTTAGGCTCTCTCTCCGCTACCCCCCCCCCCCCGCGGCCCCGCCCCTCCCCGCCCCCGGCCTCTTTACTCCATCTCTCTTTTGAAAAAGTTTCGTCCAGAGAAAGTAGGTCTGTGTTTCACCGGGCTGCTAGGTTCTATTTCCTGGGTGCTTAGGGCACCCAGGCATCCTTCAGGATAACCAAGCCGGGCAAACTTCCTTGAGGCCTCGCCCAGTTATTTCAACCACGTGGGTTGAGGCACATTTCCTTAAAGGTCCTTACTGCAGTCCGGGATTTCTAAGCACTGATATCAGGGAGACACAGTTCTTAGATAATCAGGCTTTTTGCACAAAGAAAAGAAAGATTTGAAGAATTGCCAGCAGGAATGACGGACAGAAGCCCCTTTGAAACCGATATGCTCACTCTGACCCGCTATGTTATGGAGAAAGGACGTCAGGCCAAAGGGACAGGGGAGCTCACGCAGCTGCTGAACTCCATGCTGACAGCCATCAAAGCCATTTCCTCAGCAGTGCGCAAGGCCGGTCTAGCCAACCTGTGAGTTGTGGGGTGCAGACAAAGGGATCTGAGGTCGGGTGGGATGTGAGTAAAGCTGCAGTCCTAGGGTCAGAAACCCAAACTGAATCTGTTTGTCTCTGTGCCTTGGAAGGAAGTTGCAATTAAAGTTTCTGTCACATGTGATTTGATAAAGGCATATATATGATACTTGTGTCAAGAAAGGAAGTTGGCGAATTGCTTTAGAGGAAAAAAAATACAAATATGTATTTGCCTATCATGACTTGTATTTGGCATTCTCCCTGGCACAAACCAACAGCCAGGAGACTTGGGAAGTATCTTTCTCTCATTTGCAGATAGGAGCATTTTCATGTCAGGACTTTGGGAGCTAGCAATCATTTCCAAAATAGGTAACTTTCCAGGGCCAGGCCCTACATCATGTCTCTCACAATGGAAAGGAATCTTTTGCTGGCCACATTTAAACATTTCTTCTCTGGCTTTTTCTTTATGCCCTCCATTTGGTGTGTAAGAAATGTGAGGCACAGGCCTGGGAGGAGGGAATGCAGAGCTTGCTTTCACTTTGTGCTCTGCAGTACTTTATCCAAGCACGGAAAGAGGCCAAGTTCACACCAAGGCTGCTGATTGTCCCAGCCAAGTGTCCACTTTTAAGTATGTGATTTCAAAAAGCAGTTTCTTTCTTTGAACTTTCCAACAGAGGCCTTCTCAGACATTCGAAGGGACTTATTATTTAGGTTTCAAAATGAAGAAATAACAAAATACGATAATTTAAAATATTTCTTAACAATTTAGTGCTTTGAACAAAAAAGACTGATAGAATTAACTCAGAATGTAATTATAGAATTTATTTATGTGACTTTGTGAACAAGTAATAGGATGCTTTATAGTTGGGTTCCCCCCCACACACTCCCACTTATTGCTATAACTTTGTTATTGCCTCATTTGTTGTAAGGTTCTGCATTTAAGGACCCTCATGTATGTGAGATGCAGCCTTTTGCCTGTTCTGCTCCTACAAGGTGGTGGACTCGTTGAGTGACACCAAGTACAGAGCATACTCACTTTAAGTCCTTCATAGGTTCTTGGAAACTACAACCTTGAGAGAGGAGTTATAGTGAAGCCAGATCTTCAAATACAGTGTTTCCTTCAACATCAGGCCCCCGGACAATTTTTCCCCTCACCAACTCTGTAACAAAACTACACTGGACCCCCTGAAGCAACTTTGCTTCCCCTTGTGTTTGGGCCATGCTAAACTCACTGCCACTTCCTGGGCATCTCAGTGTTATCCACCCCACTCATCAGGCTCCTTTTCTATAGGGTGCTGGCCAGGCAGCCACGCTGTGGGGACACTGTGCTAATCATTGGCAGAACTCTGTGATAGTGAGTTTTTGCTTTTTTTTTTAAGATTTTAGTTTTATTTATACAAGAACTGGGGTATAGGTCAGAGGCGTGGGAGGGTGAAAGAATTCACCAGAGACAGCAGGGAACAGAGCAGGCAGACAGACCGAAGACTCTGCTGAAGGGACTAGCAGGCGAGGCAGGGGAGGTCTGCCATGCCATGTGGGTTTCTCCCTGGCCGGCCGGGAATCGAACCCATGCTTCAGAGGCTATGGACAGCTTCACAGAGCAGCGCTCAATCTGCTACACCACCAGGGAGGCCCACTGTGACAGTGAGTGTCCAGATGAAGTGGCTCAGGAATTGCATAATGAGAATCATATGACTTAGTTTTTCCTGTCATGTGATAATGGGCAATGATCTAATGGAGAAGATTCTTGTGATATTGTGATTTATAAACAGATTTTATTTGGTCATTCAGATGATGAAAATATATTTCTCATATGCATTTGGTCTTCATCTATAGTTCCTAGCTTACAGCTGCTCAAGCACTTGGAATTTCCTAAAAGTCCGAGAGATAAATGTGTGTGTGTGTGTGTGTGTGTTTTTTAATGTTAATGAGGTGGTTTTTGTTAAGCACCTAAGGATGATGCTAGGAGAATCTACCAATTGATTAGAATATTGGAACTTTCAGTCACATCCGCAGAGCTCAGGGTAGGGAGAGGCCTGGAGGTTGAATCGTTTGACGATCTGCTACCAAGGATTTAATCAACCATGGCTATTATAATGAAGCCTCCACAAAAACTCAAAAAGCTGGGGCTTAGAGCATTTCCAAGTTGGTGATCATGTGGAGATTTGGGAGAGAGTGGAGGGAAGGGTCATGGAAGCTCTGTGTCATTTCTCCATTCCTTGCACCAGGTATCACTTCCTTCTGAATGTTCATGTATAGCCTTTATCATATCCTTTTATAACAAACTGGTAGTCCAGGGGATAAAATGTTTCCCTGAGTTCTGTAAGCTGCTCTAGCAAATTAGCCCAACTCAAGGAGAGGGTCCTGGTTTTATAGACTCCAACCCAAAGGAGTGAGTCCTTTGCCCTCTAGAGAATAAACCCACAGAGAATGTTGGCTGTAGTTAATCTGGGCAAAGTTTATGAGGACGTGTACTCAAAGAGTACAAGGGAGGCAGCCTGAGGATCTGACTCGAGGCTGACTCTCCAAAGTGAGTCTGAGACCAGTTTTTAAGCAGTCTTCAAAGATCTTGTATCCTTCTTTGGGTGATCCTCCAGAGTAAGCATACGTGTTTGATTTTTCATAGCTCCAGAAGTTACATGGTCATCATGGCTGCTCATAAACCTGGGAACTGCCCCTGTATGGTCGAGAGCACAGAAAGCATAAGTGGAAAAATGTTAAGTTAGAACAAGGTGGGCATTAACAGAGTAGTTAAAAATGTGGTATCTCTGATGTCCATCATGTCTTCCCAGTCTCAGGACCCTCTGATGGCAGGGTGGCTGTTGACTGGTCTGACTTGTTCCTGTCCCCACTGTTCCACATCCTCTATTTCATTGGGAACTCTTAATTAATATTCAGTTGATCAAAAATACAGTGCTTTGCATAAGCATCTGAAGTATGTGTGTGTGTGTGTGTGTGTGTGTGTGTGTAGGGGGGACAGAATTGTAGGATTAACCCCTTTACCTGTGGACCTGATGCCATCTTGAGGTAGACACTGTCAGAATTGAGTTGATTTTTCAGATATTCTTTTTTTTTAATAATTAATTTATTTATACAAGCACTGGGTACAGTCAGAAGCACGGGAGGGTGAGAGAATTCACCAGAGCCAGAGCGATGAGCAGAACAGGCAGACTGACGAAATACACTGCTGAGGAGAGCAGCGGGCGGCAGGAGAGGTCTGTGCGCCATGTGGGACCCTTGCCGGTGGCCAGGGATCGAACCTGCACTGCAGAGGCTACTGACAGCTTCGCAGCCAGAGCTCAACCGCTGCGCCACCAGGGGAGGCCCACTTTTCAGATATTCTATAGGTGTCTGAGTCTGAGAATTGTTGGTGTGGAGAGGCACACACTCTCTCTTGCTGGTACTGGGTCCAGAAACTCATTCAGTACTGATATGTCTTAATTTGTAGAGCCTTTTTAAACCTTAGTAAGGCCACATGATGACAACTTCATCTCTGTGTGTGCTGGTCCTATCAGAAATGCTCAGTAAACGCTTTTTATTACTACCATTCAGTCAAGACCTGACTGGTCGATAACAGTCACTGACCACTAGGTGGCAGCCACAGCCTATGAAACACACGTCAGAATTCTGCTCTTTCTCTGGGCTAGGTGAGAGGTCCCACCGCTGGCAGAGGAACCAGTAGTCCTTCCGTTCAAACACCATCCTTCTTATGGGCCTTCAGTAACAGACACCAAAGATTGTCACAGGAGAAGCCCTCTGAATGGAAATTCCTTCTTTTTAAGATGCTGAGATTATTTTAAGAGGACCCTGGTATTATATCTTGGAGAACTAAAAGGCTGTACTCTGGCGCAGTTCTGCTCATGAAATGGGACTTTCACATATTCCCACTGTTTTCCCAATCAGAGGGACTCAAACCCTTCATTTCTTTGGTTTTTCTGTTTGGTAAGACATTTCTAGGCACAGGCTTAATAAGTGGAACTTGAAAGTGACCAGGAGGTCTCTTTCCCACTCCTTGCTGTAGGAAGAAGGGAATGCTAGAACGCCTCCCCTGGAAACCTCTCCATGGCTCTCTACTGTTGCAGTGCTAGAACATCCCATTTAAAAATTATCATTGAGTTTTAGTGCTAGTTAAACATGTTAAAAATTATTTCCCTGTGGGTGTAAAGCACTGTATTACCTACAGTCTCACTTGGAGCAGTTCATAGGCAATCAGATCTCACTGTGGATGAGTTTCAGCTCTTTCTGGAAGGGGGAGTGTTAATGACAGGTAGACTTAGTGGGATGCCCAGAGCCTGAAAGGAGGGTGCTGAGGGCCAGTTGAAGGGTGGGTTGGTGGGGTTTGCTAGGCTAGAGAGCCTCTATCTGGGCTCTGCTCACCACAGGCGAGGGCATCCTAGCTCCTCATTCTCCGGCCAGCAGCAGTATCAAGATTCCATCTTAAATACAAGGATTGGGTTTGTGATTCCTTTAAAATCTGATACAAAAATAAACTAGTTTTGTTGCTGCTGCTGCTGTTTGTTTTCTTCTGGTTTGAATCAGAGGGTATAATTTTTGAAGCCAGGCAACAGTAATATTTTCCAAGGCAGCCAACTCAACTCATGACCTACATCAGATATCAGAGAGGGGAAATTTGTTGAAAGGTGAGAGGCTGTCACCACTCTCCTTTTAAGTTGTTCAGTCATTCTCAAACCTGGCTACCTAATAGAACCACCTATTCCTTCAACAAATAAATGCCATTCAAAAAGTAAACTGGTCCAACCACTATGGAGAGCTGTGTGGAGATTTCTGGACCTACTAAACATAGAGCTTCCACAGGATCCAGCAATTCCACTCCTAGGTATTTACCCAAAGAACACAGAAACATCAATTCCAAAGAACACCTTCACCCCTATGTTTATAGCAGCACTATTTACAATAGCTAAGCTTTGGAAACAGCCCAAATGCCCAAAAATAGATGACTGGATCAAGAAGATGTGGTACATATATACCATGGAATATTACTCAGCATTCAAAAAAGATAAACACATGCAATTTGCAGCAACATGGATGGCCCTGGAAGGGATCATGCTCAGTGAAATAAGCCAAAAAGAAAAAGAAAAATACCGGATGGTCTCACTCATAGCAGGAATCTAGAAAACTTAAATAAGGGACCAGGAAAATGAATAACTATAAGAAAGTGAAAATCAAAATCAACAAAAACTATGAACCAGAGACACTTTTTGGGGGGGGGGGGGCGGGAGGGGAGGGATTGGGGTCAGAATGGGGGGATTGCAATTGTATGGGGAATATAAAAATAAAATTTATTAATTAAAAAAAAAAGTAATGGAAGGGAAATTACTTTCATGCTATCCTTCATAATTCAGTGATGTCAGTGGACTCCCTAGCCCTCTTTGCTCTAGGTGTTATAGGGCAGCCCCGATACAAAACGGGGTGCCTGACTGTGGGTCCTCACCCGCGCGCTTAAAAGGACATATCAATGCTCTACTGCAGGCACACACGAAAGGTTAATAAAAGGTTTATTTACAAGGGAAGGGCAAATGAGGAAATGTACAGCTCAGGGAGAAAAATGGGAGACAAAGTTTTAAATGCGTCCTACCCGATTCGCTGATCTGGAATCCCAAATGGCACTCTGAGAGCTGGCCCTGAGCCAGAAGCCGTGAAGCCAGGAGGCGAGCGACAGAGAGAGGGAGAGCCCCCAAGGCCCACGTGTTTGGTTTTTATACCAACCCTGGCTACTTAACTCCACTCTCAGGTCCCAGCCACCTTCCCTTTGGTGGTGACGGGATTTGTCTTTCCCAATGTCTTGATGACTTTGGTCTGGAGTGGGGGTGGGGTCCACAAAGCCTGTATGGGATTAGCTCAGAATATCCTTTCCCCCTAACATAGGTGCTATTGTCTGGTTTCCTGCTCTCAAGACAAAACGTAGAATCAGGCAGGAGGCCTCTCACCAGGGCAAAAGTCCTGCTATGAGGAACATACTGGGAAATCAGTATCTGCTGAAAACAGCAGGCAGATATTATGGTCAGATTATCAAGATCAGCTGGAATATCTTCCTGATAAAGATTAGCAGAAAGTTAGGTAAAAATAGGATTCGAGATAGTATGCTTTGATCAGTAGGAACTATGGAGCCCTCAAGCAATAGCCCTGGTCACTCCACCCTAGAGTATACCAGATAATAACACATCCCTGATAATAATATACCACCACATGTACTTCCTCCATGTACTTACCCATCTTCTCTGAACCCAGTTCCAAATAAACATGAGACTGCCCATAGTTTGGGGCTGCACTTATTTAGGTGTAAGCCCCTCTGGGCCTCTCTCCACTTGGACTTTGAGTTGTCTTTCCTTCGACCCACTCTGCTCCCAATGCTGCCACCAGGAGAGGAGGCGACACACATCTATTATGTCCTCAGACCCAGTGATAACAAATGCAGTAAGTCACTGTTGCCGCCCTCATTGAATAGATAATCCAGCAGGAAGAACATTCCCTTGAACAGGTTGTGAGCCAGAAATGACAGGAGTGTGCTTGGTATGTGGTGGGAACTTGAAGGTAGACCATGGAAGCTTCAGAACAAAGGAAAAATCTGACAGTGGTGGACAGCGTTCCCATGGAAGGAATGCCCAGAGTGAAGGTGAAAAGGAGAGGAGCAGCTTGCTGAGAGTTGGTGGTCGCAGGATATTTGCAGATATTGGAATGAAAAAGGCTTAAATGGGGTGATAGACTGGCTCTTGGAGGGAAGAGCTTGGAGCGGAAGACAGCAAATCCAGGGTGTAAGGCAAGTGCGTTCCCTGTCGTTCAGGGGACCGAGACTTACTGAGTGAGTGAAGGGGCGAGGGACAGAGGCCAGGGCTTCTTTGCTGGAACCTGCAGTCTACTCTAGGGGTTGCAGGAATTAGATGAGATGAGTGTGATCTAACAGGCATTTTCAAACTGCCCCTCCCACAAGAGATATGAGAAAAGCCCCCAAAAGGAGACAAGTGTGCCAAACCCTCCAAGAGTTAACACCCCTCCTGCCAACCCCCGCCCTGCCCCCAGCCTAGGAATATAGTCTTCACTGGTCATTGTGTTATAGGGCAGCCCCGATACAAAACGGGGTGCCTGACTGTGGGTCCTCACCCGCGCACTTAAAAGGACTTATCAATGCTCTACTGCAGGCACACGGGAAAGGTTAATAAAAGGTTTATTTACAAGGGAAGGGCAAATGAGGAAATGTACAGCTCAGGGAGAAAAGTGGGAGACAAAATTTTAAATGCATCCTACCCGATCCGCCGATCAGGAATCCCGAATGGCACTCTGAGTGCTGGCTGTGAGCCAGGAGCCGTGAAGCCAGGAGGCGAGCGACAGAGCCAGAGACCCCAAGGCCCATGTGTTTGGTTTTTATACCCAACGTGGCTGCTTAACTCCACCCTCAGGTCCCAGCCACCTTCCCTTTGGTGGTGACGGGATTTGTCTTTCCCAAAGTCTTGATGGCTTTGGTCTGGGTTGGGGTTGGAGTCCACAAAGCCTGTATGGGATTAGCTCAGGACATCATTTCCCCCTAACAATTGTAGGATTTTCTGGTCAGCATCAATGTGGAAATATTTTCTATTCCCCAAAGACAGACTAGATAATTTGTCACAAGGCCTTTTCCCATTTCCCCATAGGTAGGTTACCTAATCCTGAAATAACACCCTCTTCCCCCATGTCGCCCCTTTTCTGCCCGTAAGAGCCTTTCCTCTTGTATAGCTTTTTGGAGCTCTCTTCTACTTGCTAGATGGGATTTTGTTCAATTCAGAAATAGTCTAATTAAACCAATCAGGTTTTCACAATTAACTGGGCTGTATTTTTATTTAATACTAATACTCTAAAACAGAAAGCTAGACTTTTTATAGTAGAGTTATTTCTTATATTGTATGAAAATATTGTGAAGAACCAAATTAAATTATTGTTTATCCCCAAATTTCCTTCCCACCCAGCAGACCACTATCCTGGCAAGATAATCAATAAATATGTGAAATTCCAGTGCTGGGAAACTGTGGTCCTTTACTCTCTGGAGTCATTAATTATGGCAATGTGTCTGACTTCATGTACATTGTCTTCATCTTCCAATGCACAATGCAGGTCTGTAAGATTGAACTCCGGTGAGGCTTATCAGGAGAATAAAGGACAATGATGGTATCCCCAAGGTATGAAGGAAGCAAGGCTGAGAATTAGCACTGTGAAACTGGATTGATAATTTGAAGATTCTGGAACTCTGAAGGCCAGTGGTCTTAACATCTGGGCATCTCTGCCAGTTTCAGCTCACTTAGTTATTTCATTCAACCTTTCTATTCTTAGGTATGGAATTGCGGGAAGTGTGAACGTGACAGGGGATGAGGTGAAAAAACTGGACGTGTTGTCCAATACCCTGGTGATCAACATGCTCCAGTCCTCCTACAGCACCTGTGTCCTGGTCTCAGAAGAGAATAAGGAGGCGATTATCACAAACAAGGACAGGCAGGTACGTGTGCAGGGGGTCTGAGATACATGTCCATCTTTATCAGTAGCAGTGGCGCTACTGAGCTGGGAAGAATCTTTGGTTGCTTTGCTTTTCTTTCATTTCTTGGATTTCCCTTTATTGCTTACTTTTTAATTTCCAGAATCAATGGTTTGCCTACTTTTTTAGTTGGAGGTATGCTGTCTGGTGAAGAAAAAAAAAAAAAGACTCCATAGCAGGGCAGAGACTCACTCAGGAAATACATCAGAGTGATTTACTGAAATACCTCAGTGGTGGGGCTCAAGGGTTTTCCCCTAATGTACATATAACTAGTGCAATTGGGCCTCCCCGGCGGCACAGGGGGTTGAGCACCACGCTGTGAAGCTGTCCAAAGTCTCTGCAGCGCGGGTTCAATTCCCCGCCGGCCAGGAAGCTACCCATATGTCGCCGCAGACATCTCCTGCGTTGCTCGCTGCTCCCCTCAGCAGTGTCTTTGGTCCATCTGCCTGTTCTGCTCCCACTCTGTCTCTGGTGAATTCTTTCACCCTCCCACACCTCTGACTGTACCCCAGTTCTTGTATAAATAAATAAATCTTAAATAAATAAATAAGACTCTATTGCAAAATAGTTTATATATATATAAAAACAAACAAGTGCAATTTGGGGCCTTTAAATTCAAGTTCAGTAAAAAGTAGAGTTCCTGGCAAGAGTCTTTTACTCTTCCCTTCTCACTTTTATTCCACCTCTGCCCCCAACACCTATTTCACCAAGGGATGATGGTTTCAGCAAAGATTTCTTCATATCTGACAAACTACTGGAATAATGTAGTAAAGAAGCTATAAAGATCCTGGTTAATGTAGCCATATTTACTATGGTTTGACAAAGAGTTTAGTATAGAGAGAGGTTCGCTGGTGGTCAAAAAATTCAGCCCATGTTCAGCTGTGATACAGTAAGGCAGAATAAATGCTGGGCACTGGTTGAGCTACCATTTCATGATGCATGGGCAGAAGGACAGGAAGGGTAAAGTCAAATTTATTAAGCTTCTCTGTATGCTAAGTACTGTGCATACTCTTGCTGTCTCACGTAATTTAAGCTAAATCATACCTATCACTTTCAACTTTAAATTCACACTGCACTGATCTTTGGTGCTTTCTGCAATTGAGACCACTATGTTCTTGTGCTGGAGACCAGCTCCAGCGAGATGTCGTGTCAGGGATCTCAGAAAGGAGAGGACGGCATCGGTGAAGTTTTTCGGAGGGCTGAGGGGAAGTGGAGAGAGGTAGAAGTGAGGTAGACACAGACACCCTCTCTGGTGCAAGTATCTCCTACTGAGGGTCTCAGCAGGTCTTTATTTATACCTTAAGGTAAGATTACATCAGCATAAGCATTTATACCTTAAGGTGAGATTACATCAGCATAAGCATCAAAGCAGAACAGAGACAATCATTACATATTTTCTCATGAATATACAAAGACCCTCTTGATCTCATACTACAAAAGGACACTTCTTTAATCTGATTAAGAAAATCAACAGGGACAATTGCTCTCCTAGGTACAACTCTTTTTCTAACATAATCAATTGTCTAAGACAGTACAATGTTCAGTAACAATCAATCATCCTGTCAAGCCTTCCTAATTTTGGAGTAGACATGAAAGTCCATTGTTATGCTATATTACTAAAATCAACCCATTCTCTAGTCTTCAATTCATCTAGCCTAATATCAATTACTTCAAAGTAATCTAAAACAACTCATCAAATATATGTAAGTTCTACTGAAGTCTAACTCTTAACTAGAATTTCCTAACCTCCACATACCCTGAGAACTGTTGGCCTTTCGCATACACCAGGAGATGTATTGTTGCCTCAAACAGGTACCCCCCAGGTTAGACTATGGTTTCCAAGCACAGCTGGTTCAGGGAAGCTTGTTCTCCATAGTTCTCAGGGCCGAAACATTTCTTTCCTAACTATATCTTTAACAATTTTTACTTCTTTTGTGATAGTTCATGCGTAAGAACAATAAGCCAACTGTCACCTGGGTTCTGAATTAGGTTTTCACATGCCAATTTATAACTAACTTACTTCAGCATTAACCAAGAACAAAGAGGGGAGCATTGGCAGGTGTTGCCATGGAGACTCCCTAGTTCAGATCTTCTTTGGGAAGTGCAAGAACTCCCCTCTTCTGGGAAGTACAACTTTCCCTCTTTGGGGGAGCACAGGAACTCCCCTCTTCTCGGGAGTCTCCCCCAATGCCCGGACCATGTCAAGAGACAGCCTGGGAGGCACAGCCTGCCGCATTCTTGTGCTCTTTCCCAATTGACCTGAGCCTCACTGGTCTTCAGTGCTAGCTCTTGAATGTGCCATGTCTGCTTTCAAACTTATTCTAGATGTTCAATAAATATGTTGAGAGAATGCATATATGGATGAATGGACAAAGTTGGACAGAGAGGATGGGGAATTTCCAAGTTTATGAATAATCCTACCCCCTCCCTTATTGCTCAAGGAAAAAAATAGAAAGAACTAAATCAAGAACTAACCTGATTGTTGACACAGTTAAAGCTAGTCCTAGCTTCCTTATCTCTTCCTCAGAAGGTACTACTTTCAAACCTGGTTTCCTTTCACCCTCATATCTCTAAGTCCCCAGTGCAGGAGAGGAGGCAGAGCCAGAGCAGACCAATATAGTAAAGAAATAAGATCAGTTTTGGTGGGGGGGAGCTATTTGGGGTGGGGATGCAGACCCTTTGTGGGTTCAACTAATCTGTTTATGGACAGATTGAACCCAAGCTGCACAATTCATTTATACTGATACACTCTGCCCACCTGAAGAAATTGCATATTTGGATGAGGGTATCCTCTTGCCCTACACTTCTCTTTGCTGTAGTGTTATTTGCTGCACATGGCAACTTATGTGAAGTGTTGATCAGAAGATGATCTGACCAGGTATTTCTTCTCTGCTCTGAGTTTAGGGGAAATATGTGGTCTGTTTTGACCCTCTGGATGGATCTTCCAACATCGACTGCTTAGCCTCCATTGGAACCATATTTGCCATCTACAGAAAGGTAAGGAGATCTTTAAAGCCTCCCTCCTCTGGCAGTTTCTGGAAGGTTCCTGAGTAGGAGCATCTAGTCTGGAATTCTAATTTCTGTCCTTCCACTACTGCAGATAACCAACCTTGGTCCAATCAAAGGGCTCCTCATTGGAAAACTGAATTGGTAAATTTTCCTTACTTTCTTCACAGCATTAACTTTAAAATATTCATCATGGTAAATGGGGCCTTATTTTGAAAATATGGATGGAACTCAATGTTAGACATGTATTAGGTTCCAGGCAGCTTCTGAAGGTCCCGTTATTTCTTATTGATGTATCTCCAGTCTTACCACATTTGTTTTCTATAGTTGCTGTAAAAATTTGCCACACATTTTTTAAAGATTTATTTATTTATGCATACAAGAATAGGGGTACAGGCCAGAGGTGGGGGTTGAGAGGATTCACCAGAGACAGAGTGGGGAGCAGAACAGGCAGACTGACTGAAATTCACAGCTGGAAGGGAGCAAAAGGTGAGACAGAGGTCTCGATGTGGGATCGAACTTGTGCTGGCTGGCCAGGGATCGAACTTTTGCTGCAGAGGCTGCAGATAGCTTCATAGTGCTGTGTTTAACCCCTTGTGCCACCAGGGAGACCCTATTTGCCAAACATTTAGAAGCTTAAAATAGCACCCATTTCTTATCCTCCAGTTGTGTAGGTTGAGAGTCTACAGGAAAATCTGGATCCTCTGCTTGGGGGCTCATAAGGCTACAACCTAGGTATCAGCCTGCCTGGCCTCCTAGTGAGAGACTCCAGGTGGTGGGGGTTTTTTGAGGGGTGATGAGGGTGTGGTTCAAGGAGAATTAGCTACCAGGCTCATTTAGGTTGTTGGCAGAAATTAGTTCCATTCTGTCACAGGATGGAGATCCTTATTTTTTGCTAACCAGTGTTGGGGCTAACCAGCTAACCAGCCTTACCTTCTAGAGATTTTCTGCATTCCCTGGTATTTGACTTCTATGTCCTGAAAGCCAACAGGCAGGCCAAATCATTTGCATTCTTCTAAAGAAGTGCTCTCTAACACACCCACTTTGCCTCATCAACGCTTCCTCTAGCCACTGCTTTTAAGGAGTCATTGGATTAATTGGGTCCTCCTGGATAATCCAGACTACTCTCCCTAGTTTGAACTGGTAACCCTAATGCCATCTGCAGAGCTCTCCTTTGCCAGGTGTTGGAACATACCCACCTCTATCCACACATCTAATGACAGAAATGATCTTATCGGTTGGTCTGTGGCCAGTCGGTAGGAACAGAAACTTCATGTCAGGCTACATAATCCCGAATAAGCTTTAATTTAGGGATTATTCCTCAGTCTAATCAGAGTGGCTGTGTCTTTGCCCTTGGGGCTTCTTGGAGGACGCCAAGGGCACTTGTGTTTCTTCAGGGTCCAGCTGGTGACCTGCTGTAAGGTCAGGAATGGACACAGAGCAGGTTTTCTATGATCCCATGCAGAATGGATAAAGGAGGAGTCGGAGCCCTCAGTGGTTTTTTGCAGGCCTTTTATTGGGATTTACCCTGTACACAGCAGGCAAGGTTGCTGGGGGGCCGGGAGGCTGGCAGTCCTCCCAGCCCCCCAGCAAGTCTTCACTCTATCTGGGCTCTTGGTGTTCTCTGCTTCTGCTACTTCTTTCTTGGCTTCTCTTTTGGCTTCTGCTGGCGTCCCCATGACGCTGACCTTAAAAGCCCAGTCTCAGCCCAGGTGAATCCCCCATCTACCTATGCCCACACCCTACTCCAGGTGCTCGCCATCAGGCATGCATTCAGGAGTGCAAGGATCCATCATCTATCCTGATGGTGGGAGGGCAGAAAAGCCTGACATTTTTCCTTACCCTACTCCTGCCTTCTGGCTGGTCTTAGAGACCCATCCCTGACTCCATGTGAATACGACATCTCCACTAGACTAATAACCAGCAAACAAACTGTAGGTAACGCTTTCCTACTGATTTGGCACTAATTATGTATAGTTAATTTTCCATGTATGACTTTCTTAGGACTCCTAGATTATAAACTTGGGAGAATCGGGCATGCGCCATACCATCTAATGTTTGTCTGTTGATACTGATAACGTAATATATCTGTGTTTGGCTGATAGTGGTCCAAAAAAAGGAGTGCCAGAAGTTGGTTTTCAGGGGTAAAAGCTTAGCAGAAAACTAACCTTAGCAGAATATGTGAGTTAACCTGAACTATCTTTTTGGGAGGAGTAGCAAGAGATAGGGAAGTGCTCTATTACTCATCTTCAAAAGCAAAATGGAAACTAAGCCAGCCTGTATTACAAGAAACCTTAGTGGGTGTTGCTGAACCAGTTGGTATTTCTCTTTTTCACTTGTGAATAGAGAAAAGGTTTTTGCTGAGGGAGCCAGAGAGAATGACACAAGACATTTTCTCTGTTATTTGAGAAAGTTAGAAACTAAGAGGATGGTTCAAGGTTAAGCAAAAATAAGCTTTGTAAGGAAAGTAGATTTATTTCTGCATTTTACTTACAACTTAGAAATAAAAATTAAAGGATAGATGGTGTGATAGCCATGATATTCTGCAAAAAGACACCAGTTATCTTTGAGGTATTTTTAAATATCAGTTTCATCATTATGTCTGATTCTGCTGAGCATGAGGCAGGTGCTGCTCTGTTCACCTGCAAGTTAATCACCACAATAATCACCACAATAAATTTAATTAACATCCAACACATAGTTAAACATTTTTTCCCTTACCATGAGAACTTTAAAGACTGTTGATAGCAACATTCAAATATACAATATATTGTTATTAACTATAGTCACATGCTGTATGTTATATCTCCAGAACTTATTTCTCATAACTGGAAATTAGTACCTTTTGATCATATTCATCCATTTCTCCCTCAACCACTTCTCCCTCTGCCTGGAAACCACCAATATGTTCTGTTTCTAAGAGCCCATTATTTTTCAGATTCCACACTGAAGTGAGATCACACAGTATTTTTCTTTCTATGTCTGACTTATTTCACTTAGCATATTGTCCTCAAGGTCTATCCATGTTGCAAATGGCAGGATTTTCTTTTTTATTTAATGGCTGGACAATTTTGTATGTGTGTATGTATGTACATTTTCTTTATTCATTCAGTAATGGGTGCTTACATTATTTCCAAATCTTGCCTACTGTAAATAATTCTATAAAGAAGGTATCTCTTTGAGTACAGGTATCTCCTTGAGATAGTGATTTCATTTTCTTTGGATATAAGTCCAGATATAGAATTGCTGAATTATATAGTAGTTGATTTTTGAGGAAACTCTGTGCTGTTTTCCAGAGTGACTGCACCAATTTGTATATCTATCAATAGTGCTTAAGAGTTTCCCTTTCCACATACTAACGTGTGATTTCTTATTTTTTTATTGAGATAACATTGGTTTACAGAATTGCATATAATTTACTTTAAAGCTACTTTGAAATTAATGATACACCATGATTTTACATCCTTGGCTATTTCTTTATAGGTTTTCTCCTCTCCGGGGTAGTCACCATAGCTTTCTCAACACCAAAGAACCTGTAGTCCCCCACCATAGTCCACTGAGCTCTCTGTCTTCCTCCCTCCACCCATTGTATTCTCCCTTCCTCTGTACACCTGGATGCTCAGATCTCTGGCAAGCTTTCAAGGATTGGTTTTAAAGTTTGTCTAATCCTTTGCTTGGTTTCCCTATATTCCATATATAAGTAACATCATCCAGTATTTATCTTTCTCCTTCTGGATCACTTTATGTTGACAAAAATGGTGTGAGTTTATCTTTTTTTTATTTCTGGGTAGTATTCCATCATGTGGAGAAAAGGGAGCACTGTTACACTGTTGGTGGGAATGTAGACTCGTCCAGCCCCTAAGGAAAGAAGTGTGTATTTCCTCAAAAGACTAAAAATGGATTTACCATGTGGTCCAGCAATTCCACTCGTAGGTATCTACCCAAAGAACACAAAAACACTAACTCAAAAGGAAAGCTGCACCCCTATGTTCATAGCTGCACTATTTAAAATGACTCAGATATGGAAACATCCTAAATGCCCCAGAACAGATGAGTGGATCTGGAGGATGTGCTGTGTTTTAAGGGTTTCATCATAAATTGATGCTGAAGATTATCAGATCTTTTCAGCATCTGTTAATATTATCATGTGGCTTTTCCTTTCCTTTAATTTATGTGGTGAATAACATTGATTAATTTTTGGGTGTTGAGCCACCCTTGTATTCCTGGTATAATTCCCACTTGGTCATGGTGTGAAATATTTTTAATGCATTGTTGGATTTATTTGGCTAGGACTTTATTGAGGATTTTTAAATCTCATTAGGGAGATTGGTCTGTAGTTTTCTTTCTTTCTGTTGTCTTTGGTTTTGGTATTAGCGTAATGTTGATCTCATAAATATGTTTGGAAGATTTTTTTTTTTTTTTGAGTAAGAGTTTGAGTAGATACTAGTTTATCTTTGAAGGTTTGGTAGGTAGGACTCACTTGTGAAGCCATTTTATCCTGGACTTTTGTTTCCTGGGAGAATTTTGATTACTGTTTCTATTTCCTTACTTGTAATTAGTTCGTTCAGATTTTTTATTTCTGGCCTATTCAGTCTTGGATGATTATATAATTCTAAGAATCTGTCCATCTCATTTAGGTTGTTGAATTTGTTTGCATGTAAATGTTCATAGTAATCTCTTACTATCCTCTGAATTTCTGCAGTCTCTGTTGTAACTTCTCTTTTATTTTTGATGCTATTTATTTGAGTTTTCTGTTTTTTTTCTTAGTAAGCCTAGCCAGAGGTTTGTATATTTTGTTTATTTTTTTCAAAGAACAAGCTTTTGGTTTCATTGAGCTTTTGGGCTGTACCTTTAAATTTCTATTTCATGTATATCTGCTGTGATTTTTATTTTTTCCTTCCTTCTACTGGCTTTGGATTTCTTTGTTCTTCTTTTTTTAGTTCCTTGAGATGAGAGACAAGTTTGTTTATCTGGACTCTTAGTAGTTTCTT